ACACAAAACTACCTGGCACAGACTGTGACAGTTAAGAAAAAAAACAACATCGTTTTTTTCCTTTTTTTTTTTTTTTTTTAAGAGACCCAAACCGCTTTGCTTTCGCTCCAAACAACGAGAACGTGGGTTTTTTTGCAGTGGAGCTGCAGCTTCGAGAGGCTTTCTGTGTTCAAAGAGAGCATTCTGTGCTTTGGCCACCCTGGCCTGAAGCACCAAGGAGCTGTCCAGGGATCCAGGGTGCTGCGCTGCTCTTTGCCCCTGGAGACAGGACGAGGAGCAAAGTCTCCGCTCAGCCAGGGCATGAGGTGGGGGGAAAACTGGCCCAGGACCTGCAGATGGAGACTGGAGCAGAGAAGAACCAGAGGGAACGAGCTTTCCACTGCAGATTTGGGATCGTTCCTCAGCATCCCCGTGAGGAAAGGTGTGGGATCGGTGCAGGCAAACTCAGTTTTCAGCCGCAAAACAGAAAGTGTGGGGGTAGAAGAGGTGGGGGGTGAAGACTGTGGGTTTGGGGTGTGGGAGTGAGAGAGTCCTTCCACCAGCCCAGGCTGCTCCAAACTGGCCGTGGACACTTCCAGGGATGGGGCAGCCACGGCTCCTCTGGGCAGCCCGTGCCAGGGAAGTAGATGGGGATGTGTCCCACCCTCAGCTCCACGGACAGGGAGGTGAAAAAAACAACTGGGGTGGAGACCAGGAGGTTCTGGAGGGGGAAAAAAAACAACGAGGGAAGGCAAACAAAAATGTGGATTTGTGGAGACAACCGTGCAAGGAGACAAGACAGCGCGACTTTGGGACGATCAGTAAATATTTGTGAGCTGCTCAACAGCCCCTAAATTCCTCATCTGTACCTCAAAGCAGCTCCTGGTGCAGACCAAGCTCTGCCACGCAGATCCCAGGCAGCTCCAGGGCCAGGACTGTCCCCTCCCAGCAGGAGAAGCCAAAAGGTGTCAGGCAGGAGAGACTCTGCCCCTTCCTGCCTTGTCCTGGGGAGCAGGGGAAGGAAAAGCCCCCTCAAGGGGCAGGACAGGAAAACCCGAGCCAAGGGCTGGATCACAAAGAAATGACTGGAAAAATGATCATTTCTGGCTGTCCTGGCTGATGGATGGTGATGGATGCTGGAGACAGGGAAAAGGAGACCCCATCCCATCCCCTCCAACCTCCTCCTCCAGCACAGAAAAAATATCCAGAGCTGGGAGGGAGCCACCACCTCACAGAGCACTTGGAGGACTCCTGGAGGGGCTGGATCAAGCTCCAAAATTCCTCTTGGGCAAGAGGACGTTTCTCCAGCCAAGGCTTTCCCAGAGAATTCCTCTCCTTGCCTGACTTTGAGCATCCTTATCTGTTTCCCCACCAGAGGCAGGTTGTTTATACACCTTCCACAGGAAGTGGTTGTGATGCTCCCAGTGAAATCCAGGGCTGCTGTTCCCCCCTCCCAGCAGCAACAGCCCCACTTCAAAGCCAGGGAATCAAAGCCCCAGGGAAGGCTCGCAAGGATATCCCGCATGGATTCCGTGTGTGGCTGTGACACATTTGGGAAACGAGGCAGAAAACAGAGTATTTCCCTCCTCCTTTGCTCCAAATCCAGCAAAAAAAAAAAAAAAAGGAAGATCTCTCACAGGGGAGTGAGGTTGGGATGGGACAAGGCAGTTCCAAACATCCTGGAAGAACAGGGGCTGGTCCAGGTGGTTATTCCACGATTTCACCCACACCGAGCCCCAAATCCTTGCGATATTCCTGGTTTTTCCCACACCGTTTCTCCCCCAGCTCAACCCACAGCTCTCCCAAGTTTCCCTCCCTTCCCCCCTCGAGCAACCAGAGCCTTCCTTGCTCCTCCCTCTCCACATCCCAGCACGGCCAAACTCCTCCCCACCACCCTCCCGGGAAAAACCTCTCCGGGATTTTCACTTGCCCCCCAAAAAAAGCCGGGAAGTTTCGGAGCTGGGCCCTGCAGGGGCTGGGAATGCACTCTGAGGATGGAAACACCCCCCCCCGTGGGAGTGTCACACTCACAGCCCAGCGCTGCTGGACACCGGGAAAACGGCATTCCCGGAGGGATTCTGCCCATCCTGGCGGGATCAGCTCCATGGAAGGGGACAGAGGAGCATCCCAAAAGCTGCCAGGGCTTGTGGTCCCTCTGGAAACCTTCCAGGTTTCCAGAGGGACCACAAGCCCTGGCAGCTTTTGGAACCTCCCCGGTTTCCAGAACCCACCCTGGGCTTCCCTCCCCCCACAGCCACGGGGGCAGATGGAATCTCCTTGGAATGTGTGAGGGATGCCCCGGGGGCAAAACAGCTCCCTCTGACCAACACTCGAAGGGAATGGATAGGATGGAGTGCCTGGGATGGAGGGAGGAACGACACCGAAGGGATTTCCCCCTCCCCCTCCGTGAGTTTATGACGTCAGAGCACAAAACTGTCACTTTTAGGGTCGTTTGTGCCTTTCCCCCCTCTTTTTTTAAGGTCACGGAATCCCAGAACGGTTTGGGTTGGAAGGGGCATCGAAGATCAGCTCATCCCACGGGCGGGGACACCTCCCACTATCCCGGGTTGCTCCAAGGCTCATCCAACCCGTCCTTGGACACTTCCAGGGATCCAGGGGCAGCCACAGCTTTCTCTGGCCAACCTGTGCCAGGGCCTCCCCACCCTCACAAGGGAGGATTTCTTCCTGATATCCAATCTATCCCTGCCCTCTGGCAGTGGGAAGCCATTCCCTGTGTGCTGTCCCTCCATGCCTTGTCCCCAGTCCCTCTCCAGCTCTCCTGGAGCCCCTTTAGGCCCTGCCAGGGGCTCTCAGCTCTCCCTGGAGCCTTCTCTTCTCCAGGGGAACCCCCCCAGCTCTCCCAGCCTGGCTCCAGAGCGGAGGGGCTCCAGCCCCTGGCAGCGATTCCCTTCTCCCGAGGCTCCAAGCTCCCACTCCCCCTGCAGACACACATCCCACACGCAAAAACACCACACGCACAGCGAAGGGGGGGGGGGGGGGCC